TTTTATGATGTTAGAAAGCAATAAAATTTGTTTTATTTATTTTTGCAACGATATATGAATTCTCGCATATACAGCTGTAGTATACGAGGGGTGATCAAAAAGTTCGCGAACTATCTCTATATTTTCAAAACCACAATTCAGATCAGAATGAAATTTGGCACACACATAGTCATACATGTGTTCTATATATAGCAGTTTTATTTAATGTTTTGATCCATGTTTGTGACGTCACAATGTGAAAATGACGTCATAAGGTAGGTTACTTGTGACAAAAAATGATTGACTCAGTCGTACTCGAGCAACGAACTGCTGTAAAGTTTAATGTGTATCTTAGAAATTCCTTTGCAATAGCATATATAACTTTGTACAAAGTTTATGAAGACAAAAGACTTGCCAGGAGTTTAATCATTAATTGGATTGATTGTTTTAGTGAAAGAAGGGAGATGGTTAAAAATGATGTTTGTTCTCTTGCCCAGTGAAAGCAAGCTGGGGAAGAGATGTGTCCACAGTTGAGCAATTTGATATGAAAGACCGCCAAGTTACAGTTAGAAAAATAGTTGAATATCTTAACAATAATACAGTTATTAAATCCCTAAAATATCGTTTACCTTAGAATTTAATCATATCAGATATGATAAAAAGAAGGCGCCATGCCTTATATCCACATTGGATAAACGACGCTCCAAGACGGAAAACTCGGGTTGCGATGGTCACCATGCTCATTCCGGGAAAGGATATCCTTATCCACCCATCCTATTGCCGAGATTTGGCCATTTTTGACAAGTTGACTATTCTTGTTATAAAAAATAACTTGCATGGTAAGAAATATAAGACTAGAAAAAATCTTTTACATCCTGTGAACGGAACGCTTCGGAGCATGTCACGTGACCGCCTGTATCACGTGATTTGCGCATGGGCAGAACTGTGGCAGATGTGCATTTAAATCGGAGAGGACTACTTTAAAAAATAATGAACACTAAAACCTAATTTCATTTCTTTTATGGAAGTTATTCAATTAGTTCGCGAACTTTTTGATCACCCCTCGTAAATACATCGTACATAGGGGCAATTGGGGTAAGTGGACACTTGGGGTATGTGGACACATTTTTAAAAAAAATTGCTTTAAAATTAAAGCAAACAAGAGTTATCAAACCTGTTCAGCTCTCGTTGTAAAGGAGGAAGCAAATGTGTTAACAACAAAGACAGGGAAAATTCAAGGTCAACGACTTCGATTGAAAAAAGGAGAAAACTGTGACTCGATCCGTAAGTAAACTGCACAGAGCCATTTTCTTAGTATTGTCATAAATACTGCAGACATTAACCATTGTTTTAATAAAAACTGTTCGCCTTTAAGCAAAAGAACTTGTTTTCAATCTATACAATGAAGCATCAGTTTTAGGTCTGGAGTGTTTACATTGATGTATTTTTGCAGTTTATATTATTTTTATTGCATCATTCCTGTAAACAATATATGATCTTCACATAAAAAATGGCTACCCTTTGAAAAATCTGTATACAAACATAATGAAAGCATGTGTATTGATAATAAAATATTCAAGTTCAATCCGTGAGAGGCGTTTATATTTGATAATAGTAGACACTAGTTTTTCAAATATTATATCAATTTACACATTATTATGTTTTGTTGTTCAAGAGGAAGGGAAAATTGTAAGCTTTCTTTTTACGTTTACCCTTTAGAAAGGTCACGTGATAATGAAAAAAAAAATTACGTTGTGTCCTAAGGCTTCATGGATTTATTACAAATTTCAAGATTTATAAGAAAAAAAATATGTAATGAATGGCAACATACTCCTTGAAATTAATAATTTGCAAACACAAATATTTATTCGGTTAGAATTATTGATAAGATTAATTTAAAAATGTCAAAATGTCATATTGTGACCACTTACCCCAGTTTGTTGGGGGAAGTGGCCAGTGCAAAACCGTGACAATGTTATTTAAACAGCAGTCTCAGGTTTAATCTTTAGATATTCAGTTTGAATTGTATCAGTATAAATCTTAGTTTTATGTATCAAATTCATTTTTAAATGATAGTTCTAATCATGAAAATAATACATAAATTGATTTTTTGTAACATAAATTTTAATAATTGCAAATTAAATTTTAAAAAAAGAAAAGTAAGGTATCTTTGATGGTAAATATTTTCTTGCACAGAGATTTTGGGTTTTATGTAATTAAAATAATTTTTTTTAATTTCAGAAACGGAAATCATTGTAAAATGGCCAGAAAGAAAAAAAACTGGGTGCCCAAACAAGGAAAATGGGACAGAAAATCATTAAGTAAAGCTGTTCAGTGTGTTAAAACGGGGAAAATGACCAAGTTTAAAGCTTCTAAGATATTTGGCATTCCGAGAACAACCCTGTCGAGGAGACTTTCAACAATGGATTTGGAGTCTCCAGCATCAAAACCAACCACTCTGTCTAAAGAGGAAGAAAACTCTCTTGTTAGTCACATTTTGGAGATGGAGGAACGCGGGTTTGGTTACAATATCAGATGTATGTAAGCTTGCATATTCACACATATTGCACACTCAGGAAGAAAAAATCCATTTAATGCAGACAAGAAAATGGCAGGATATGACTGGTGGCAGGGATTTCGAGACCGGCACCCATGCTTATCTCTCCGTAAACCTGAAGGTCTAAGTGCTGCTCGTGGTACTATGCTTAATCCAAATGTAATTTCAGACCATTTTACCAAGCTAGGAGATCTTATGGATAGACTCAATATAAAGTCAAAACCCCAGCAAATAATTAATGCAGATGAAACAGGATTTAGTACAGTTCATCAAACATCAAAAATTGTGGGGAGGAAGGGAAAGAAAGCCATTCATGCGAAGACAAGTGGTGAAAGGGGTGAAAACATTACAGTTTTGTGTTGTGTAAATGCTGAGGCCCATGTTTTGCCACCTATGGTGATTTTCAAAGGAAAAAGAATCAGTCAAGCTTTAATGAGCAGTGCCCCAAAGAACACACTGTTTGCATGCAGTAAAAGCTCATTTATTAATGGAGAATTGTTTGGAATATATATGGTTTGAAAAGATTTTTTTGTCCAACCTCTCACCTCAAAGACCAGTGTTGCTGATAGTAGATGGCCATGCCTCTCATATTACACTTCAGGAAGCAACGAAGACAAATGACGTTGAAATATTCTGCTTGCCGCCTCACACAACGCATTGGACACAGCCACTGGACAGAAGTGTTTTTGGGCCCTTAAAGAAGGCATACTACAGGCATTGTGAATCATTTTTGAAATCAAATCCTGGCAGACAAATATCCAGATATGACTTTTGCGGAATTTTCTCTCATGCATATAATGAGAAAATGAATATGGTAAATATCTTTGGAGGTTTTAGAGCTACAGGTATTTTTCCTTTCAACCCTCTAGCTATTCCTGCAGAGGCATTTGGGCCATCAAAAACTTCTGTCTTAGCTTCAGTAACCAGCACTACCAGTGAGGGTGAAATTGCATCAGCTGAGAACGTGACAGTCTCTATTGGTCAATCAACCCAGGTTCCGCAGAGCTCCTTGTCAGTTTCAGAAGAAATTACAGAAGCACTTTAACTGCCAACAGTTGTCAAAGAACCAGCTCAAAGAAAAACTAAGAAAGTTCGTGGTGCAAGATGTGTAACAGAGAATGAATTCATCAATGAAATCAGACAAAAGGAGGAAAAAAGAGAAAAAGACCAGATGGAAAAAGAAATAAGAAAAAAAGAGCGTGAAGAAAAGAAACAAAAGAAAGAGATGGAAAAATTGAAGAAACAGCTTATTAAGCCTACAAGTAAATCAAAGAAGACTAAATCAAAGTCAAAGGAAAATATCCTTTCTCACACTGACACCATTAATTGCTGCTCCTACTGTGGGGGGTACTATTATGATGAAGATTCAGATGATGAGGACTGGGTTAAATGTACTAGTTGTGATGATTGGTACCACGAATCTTGCACTGGAAAATATGGACGCCAGCTAGAACATTTTGTATGTGACAAGCATCGATAATTTTTTTGATTTTGGTTTTCCACTTTTTTGAGTGTTAGAGAATGTTTACTTGTGTGAAATACCTTATATATTGGATGTTTTGAGTCACTGAATTATATTGATAATTTCATGTCATTAAAAAGTTAGAAAAACATATGCATTTCAATATTTTTCATAAATGAAAAAGGGTAAAGATAACGAACAGTGATCGATCTCAGAAAATTAATTAATTTTAATTCTGAAGAAAAAAAAATTAATTAATTAATTTTAACTTTTTTGTCGATAATATAAGGATGTGTAATTGTATCTTCAAAGACAATGTGTACTGTTATTTCATAATTTTCAACACTGTCCATTTACCCCAAATCTCTGGGGTAAGTGAACACTTTTTAAAATTTAACTTTTAAGCCCATATATTTCAAACCATTTGAATTAAGTTGAGAAATATTTTACACTACAAAAAGATAAGAGTGAACTATCAGTTTAGTATACTACAAGAAAGATTAGTTCAGATTAGAAGTTTTCAGACTCCAATTAAACCCTTAATGTGTCCACTTACCCCAGTTGCCCCTAAAGATTTAATTTTGCAAAACCAAATTCACAAGGCTGTTATTTGAATTACAATCGATGATATTAAATATACATGTGTATTTAAACAATTAAACTCAGCAAAATCGTTCGGAAAAAAAATCATTCATAGAATATTCAGAATTTACTCTTGAACACCTTTGCTTCCAAATTTGTAATTTAACGGAGAAAGAGTATTTCGAAGTGACAATTTCGTTTTTTTCTTAACATTTTACCCTAAATGAATATTAACACACACTGTGCAATTAACTTCTTTTCAACATTTCATAATTAAAAAAACACACTCTTTGGAGACTCTCAATAAATTATTAAATGTCCCAACGCCTTAATGCCAATATTAATCAGGGATACAAGAAAGCATCAGGATTTCATAGAGAACAGTGACGTGGAATGCATTCCAGTGACAGCACGGTCGATCGGAAACGCCACAAGGCATCCGCGGATTGTTACGTTTATCCGAATGGTGCATTGTAACAGAAAAAAGCAACAATAAAACATATTGTGGCTCATCTTAGAAGAACTTGGGGAAGCACTGACAGAGGTGACTATGTATCTGTGTACTCTGTTAATCTATCTGGCTATTTTACCACTGGCTTTATGTGAAATGGCGAGGTAGGGAACTTATCTTTTATCCTCCTATATTTCTAATTTTACTTCTTACAGAGAGTTTATCAAATTTTATGCCTATTTGTATTTTTTGTAAATGTTTTGTTTTATCTGTCTGCCTATGAGCACTTGCTTTTTTCCAAGGAGTAATTGATAACAAATGTTGTTTTGGGATAAGCTACGTGATACATGTACATATAGATGGTTCCACCAGATACTGTCTATTCAATTTGGTATACCTGGCAGAGAATTTAACGAAACTTGACAGAATCTTGCAACTGCACAATTGTACAGTATGCGCAAAATTATTTTTTAGCAATATGCATGTATTCATTTGGACAGGTAAAGAAAGTGAATAATATGTGTGTGACTTCAGCATTGGTAACGGACTTGAAACAAACCAAGCATATCAGAGGTTTATTAACGAGGCACATATGATGCCGGTAGTCTCATCAATGCCGCAACATTTGTGCACTAAAATGCCATTTGAAATCAAGCGGAAGAATAAACTCTGTCCAGTATTCGATATCTTGGTTATAATGGACTCCTTCAGAGGCGAAAACTAACATAATGTCTAACTCCTCATCTCCGATGATTTCTCATGAGGGGTTAAAGTTACATATCAGAGTTCTTAAACTAATCTCCATTCAATAGTAAAGTGCCGCAATAGTTTCAGTCATCCATATATTTGCATAGATGCTGCATATCACCTCCCAAATACCCAAAGGGATATTTTTCTCTGCAATCTATACATGTACATTTGTCGAGTCTTCGGGGGTTTTTTTTTACATCAAAGATTATTGTGAAAAATGAAATATAAAAACAAGAATTGATGAAAGATTAAACTGAGCATATTTTCAAGACCCCCCACTATTAATGAACATTCCTAATAAAACATTTTTTTCTCAGTGGTATTAGTTTTTCATTAGGCTCTTCCCTTATAAGATAAACATTTCCAAATATTGTTCTGACTAAACTTATGTATAAGGTCCTTCTTACTCGGGCTAAGAAGCTAATATATGATTGGAAAATAAATATATTAATGCTAAATTTTCCCCCTCAAAAATCAATTCATATCAAGCTTAATGCCTGTATTACAACGCTTTTTTTATTTGATTTTAAATACTGGACAGACGCTTTCATTCCCTTTTCTCTCAGATACTTTGGCATTATGCAACAACTACACAAAAAACTATCGATTAACAGGTATTTTGTTTGGATGTTACTAAAAAGTGGATAGCGAAACGGAACAGAAAACGGAATATAACACAAATATGCTATTCAGTCTAGAAACGACATACATTATATAAACTGTTAATATTTTATCAAGGATATTAATACGAGTTGATTTAATCATGTTTGATCCCTGAACATATGCATAGGTAAGGATATGGAATACAGAACAAAAAAAAATGTTCGAGTGGAGTAACCTAAGTGACGTCTATTCTGATCAGTATTTGCAACTTGTTTTTTAATAAAACCTGGCTCTGGGGTCATAAAACTTAGACGAGCTCACTTTTGATCTCAGTCTCACTTTTACTAAAGAGATGTATAAGGGAAAAGTGAGACTGAGATCAAAAGTGAGATCATCAAAGTTTTGTGGCCCCGGAGCACAGGCACTTGTTTCGGTAATAAATTTTTAACCCATAGTATAATAACACAAGGTATCTAACTCCGAATTACACGGAGTACTCCCCTCCCCCAGAATCGCACTCATTTACACTTTCAGAGGAAATACACTGACAAACTGTTTATAGCGAGCGCAGCGAGCTCAATAGACTAACGTGTAAGAACAGAGGAAATTCGGAATGACATATACGTCAGGCAAATTTTGGAGTGAAACCTTCCCAGAATTCCCTCACTACCAGGATTCCATGCGATAATGGCGAATATAAAATAATATAAAATATAAAAGACTGCAGTTTGCCGAGAGCTTAAAATTAACAAAAAATACATGCATTTACTATACAACGTATTTCGTTAAATATTACAGTAGGCCTGTAGTCTCGTTCAACCAGACGCTCGACTGTCTCCGTAAATTCCGACGTCATGTGACGTCACAGTCTAGACTGTGTCTCGTGCGGTTTGGAAGTTTGAAGTGGCGGATCAAAGATTACAAGTGTATGCTGTGTAAACGTTTTTCTGATGGTGCAACTGCGCTCGCCCCAACGGTCACACCGTAAAACATATTACCTATGTTATCTACACCTATGTTATCTGTAGATAAATTATCGTAGAAAACATAGGTATAAACAGTTTGCCAGTATATTTCCTCTAAAAGTGTAAATGAGTGCGATTCTGGGGGAGGGGGGGGGGACTCCATGTAAATCAGAGTTAGATACCTTGTGTTATTATTATACTATGGGTTAAAAATTTATTACCGAAACAAGTGCCTGTGCCCCGGAGCCAGGGCTTTGACAGTCACCCGAGTATCATGAGTTTCTCAGACTATGAGTACTTTGTGTCTGGGAATGGTCTGCACTTATATAACGTGTTTTTCAGGCCATGGGGACTCTATAACGAGCTATGGTTATAATCAAGCAGTTTTGTCTCCTAGAATTCAGGGGAGAAGAAGATAAATTTCAATACTTGACCAGCTTAGCCCTACCTTGGGGCCTGGCCCGGAAGCATCAATTCATTTAATATTAATGTAATGGGCTACTGTTCATTATTATCATGCAAAAAAAAAAACGCCTGCTGCATGTCCATAAGTAGAGAATAAGATTTTTAAAGATATAAATTACTTTCAATTTAAGAGCAATCCAAACCTAGGCCTGGGGCCTGAACCTAGAGCCTAGGCCCATATTTTTTTTAAATTATATATAGCAGGCTGGGTTGTGACGGTACATGTACATTTTGTCGTTCTGTACATATTGTCGTCGGCGACAATATGTACTTACCCTCACTGCATATATTGTCCTCCATCGGTACATATTGTCGCCAGCTAAAAAGTTACACTTGAACATATTGTCGTCTGCGACATTATGTGCCTATCTTCACTTCACATATTGTCGCCCCTCAGTTAGAGTTGCTTAAGGATTTCTTTTGTAGTTTTGTGAATGTAATTGGAATGCAAATCATACATACAGTACGTATCTCTTAGACAATTTCTGCAATTCTGACGGAACATATTGTCGTCCTATACATATTGCCGCCGGCGACATTGTGTACATCCCATTACTGCACATATTGTCGTACACCATTTTATATTGTCGCAGGCTATACATATTGTCGCCGGCGACAAGAATTGCGTACCCTTACTGCACATATTGAGAAAAATGATGATAATGATGATGATAATGAAGATGATGATTATGATGAGCCGGGAAAGTTAAGGAGGCTAGGTTGCACAAATGGTACATACATGAACAGATATCTTTAATTTGAAATATTTATGAATTAAGCAAACAATTTGTCTGCCAGATATCCATGCATAAATAAAGAGATTTTCAAGATGAAATAAATGTATTTCACAATTTTGATACAGGAATATGATTGATTGTTATAATGTTATGTCCCTTGTAAGATTATTTCACTCTTATGAGACGTCACCATACACAGTCGAAAGGCTTGAAATTTAGACCTTAACTCGGCCTGCCGAAACACGGGCCTAGGTTTTTAGCTCACCTGAGCCGAAGGCTCAAGTGAGTTTTTCTGAAATGTGTTCGTCGTATGTCGTTGTTGTCGTAGACTTTTCACAATTTCATCTTCTTTTCAAGAACCACTGGGTCAATTTCAACCAAACGTGACACAGAGTATCACTGGGTGAAATGAATTCAAATTTGTCCAAATGATGGGCCACGCCCTCTTTGAAGGGGAGATAATTTAGATTTTGTGAAAATTTAATGACATCTTTCAAATATCTTCTTCTCAAGAACCACTGGGCCCGGTGAGTAAAAACTTATGTGCAAGCTTTATTACCTAGTCTAAATTTACGTATGTTCAAATCATTATCCCGGGGGTAGGGTGAGGCCACAATTGGCGATTAAAGTTTGGAATAGGAATAAATTGCTTGTTAAATGTCCATGAGAAGAGAAAGTGTAAAGATTAAAGTGTAACGATTAAATTTATTTCTCATTAACTGGCCTGTTTAACATAACGTATAAAAGTATATGTTTTCTCCAAAGCATTATTTTTAAGTGAATGAAAAACACAATCAATAAATATATTTTTCTCATATACAATACCTAGTACGAATGATTCTGTGGAGATAAGTACTTTTAACATTTGATTAAAAGATTCTCTTGCAATAATATCATTTACAAATATATTCATAAACTCTCAGGATAGCAGACTGTTGTATTTTTTTAATTATAGCTTTCAGATATGATTTCAGTACTGGCGTTAAAACAAACCTCCTAGCTCCCTCAAGATTACAATAAAGACGATAACGATTTTTACCGTTCGCCTGTAGAGCTTAGTTGCGTGTTTTTGTCCCAAAGAGGGTCCTTCATGCATATCGAATGCACCATCCTCTGGTTCAATGCATGTTAATGCTCAATTTTTTGCATAATTGATATGGCATAGACAAAACAACGAATAATAAAGAGGTGTCATTATAACATCAGATAATTGCATCCTTTCACGCATTTATCGCAATGATAATCATTACTGAATATATATATATATATATATATATATATATATATATATATATATATATATATATATGATTAGATTAAGAACATATTTTGTTTGTTTGTTGTTTAACGTCCCTCTCGAGAAGTTTTCACTCATATGGAGACGCCGGCACTTGCCGGCGAAGAGCTGGAAATTTTGACCTATATTCGGCACTTAGGGCCATTGAGCAGTGAGGGATCTTTTTCGTGCCAGCATCTACTGTGACAAGGGACCTTGGTTTATACGATCTCATTCGAAGGGCCGGTCTCCACTATCCCACAGTGGGATTCGAACCCGCGACGTAAGGATCAACTCCTTCCTTCACGACTATAGGGCAGACACTCTAACCACTGAGACAAGCGGGCGACCGATTAAGAACATAACTTCTCAATTTAAATCATGTTTATTAAGAAAGTTTATCACTATATCATACATGTATCATTGTTTGTTTTTAGGCGTGATGTTTTGCAGAAATTGCTTGATAACAATACTTATGACAACAGAATTGCACCTAATTATGAAGAAGGTAGGTGACATGAAAACACCCAAACGCAAAACAAAGTAAGGACAGGCAAGTATAATCAAATATTATTAATAATTGGTTTCTCTTTTGTTTAGCACAATTTTATTGACAATACATGTATGTCCCTGGAATTGGTTTTGGTGTCTTTGTAAACTAATTTTAAATTCAACATTCTACGGATATGCATTGGATAAGCTTGATAGTATGCTACAAACTTCAAAATTTCAAACTAATTAATTTCATATTGATTGATTCAAATCTATATTAAAATTTCTAATGACCTTATGTTCATTAAACAGCTTTCCTCATATACCCTTATTATGATTGCTTTGAAGTACATGTATATGTTATGCAAAATTCAAACCCAATCATTTAAATCATGAAAAGTCAACGTTCTGCAATTATTTTTTTTTTAAAATTGACTTGGATGTGATTTCAGAGACCATTATTTATTTGTAATTGACTCGATATCTTTAAAACCTTGTCAAAATTTATTGAACTCATTTTCTATTTCCGAGGAGTTTATGTCCTGTAGCCTTATTTTGGGTAGTTACTACCAAATTTATATTCTGTAAATATGTTTCTCATCTCAACTAGTAAACTATAAGTATTTACTAAACATTTGTGATCCCTAATTCTTTGTTAGCTTCTCAGACTTTTGGCTTGTTCCTGAATCTCTAGTCTAAGACCAGTTACAACTGTTTTTTTTCAAGTTTATCTTGCTTAAATGGTGATAAAATGTGTTCAATGATATTCTTACATTTCAATAGGAGTCCGCAAAGTAATAAATATATTAAAATAATAAAATCATTGGAGTAAAAATACTCACCTTTGAGATTCCAACACGAATTGTTGATTCTAGTTTGTTACTACGTGATATCTTTTGGGGTCAGGAAATCTAAATTAGAAAGATTTAGCTATGTTTTAAAATGTTCTCTAAAGAATCATTATACAAACATGTTCATTTGTTAAAGAAATGCACATAAGTTCTTTAGGCAGGCTGGATTCTAAATGATTAATTAGGATACTTGACAAGAATGATATTTAAATAGAGGTCCAATGTTTTTCTTTTAATATTATCAATGGAAAAGTAAAGTAAAATATTTTTACCCAATAATTTCTCAGATTTGTGGAGTCTACTTGCTTCTTGCATACCGGTAAAATCTATACATATGATTACGTAGTGCATTTTTTCTACTGATAGAAATAATAAATATATTAAAAAGAATATGCGCGTTCATTGTTTTACTATTAATCTAGTTTCCCAGGAAAATATTACGATCGATTTACATAATGCAGTGGAATAAAACGTGTGTCTTTCATTTACTATATACATTATATATTCATGTACGAGGAAGATTTCAACAAAATTTTGTCACTAATTGTACGAAAGAGATCCTTTGGGATTCACAAAATTTATTTAATATCTTGTTTTTCAAATGAATCTTTATCCGGTAAATGCCTGTCATGTTACTCAACGTAACTATAAAAAATATTTGTTCTTTTAAGAAGAAAGTATCATAGAAAAATAAGATGTAACCCTTTGTTTATGTGTTGCAGATAGAGCAACCAATGTGACACTGAAATTGTCTATCATCAGTATCGATTCCATCAATGAAATTTCAATGGTGAGATTATCTTCATTACATTTCTACATGCACCTCTCAAATCATATCTTTTAATGTAATCTCCCGTCCACTCAAGTTGTTCAATTTGTATGTTCACAGGATTTCTCTCTCAATTTATTTCTTTACCAAACATGGGTGGATCCGCGCCTTAATTTCACAAAGTACAGTAATTTTTCAAGTCTGGAACTTGACCAGAAAATGATTGAGAATGTTTGGGTTCCTGATACGTACTTTCCAAACGAAAAACAAGCCACATTCCATACAGTTACAGTGAACAACAAATTGCTGCATATTTACCAGAATGGAACTGTGTTCTACAGCATAAGGTGAGTCTGGTCTAATGTTATCTGTTTGTGTAGGGTGAAAGCATCAATTAACTCAAAATTCATTACTTTTGTCCATTCTGGGTTTTCTTTTTCCTGATGGGACGAGGTAAATACTATTTAGGTACAACATGTGGTAAGTTATATTCAGTATAAAATATTTAAATTTAATTTCGACGTCTTTCGGGGGAAATTAAAAATCTTGATTGTTTTTATTATCTTTCGACAAATTACAGTAAGCCTTTTGGTAACAAAATACCTGGAAAACATGCAATAAGGTGTCAACTGTGTTTGTTTTGTTTTGTTTGTTGTTGTTTGTTTTTTTGTTTTTGTTTTGTTTTTGTTTTTTTTGTTTACGTTTTATGTCAACTTATGAAAGCCCTAATTTGATTGGTGCCTCTCAATGAGAGGAGCAGTTAAGCCCGTAAAATACAAATGAAGTTTTTCAGGGGTCCCACGACCACGTGTGAACCCAGGACGCATGACGTTGAGAGATGGTTTTCTTATTGGTTTTGGTACATTAACGTAGAACTAGGAATACTGAAAATGTTGAATATGAGCCTAGAAAGAGCGAGCATAAAATATGATTTATAACATCGACCATGAATTTCTGGATCCCTTGTAAGAATTATGCTCCATTAACGCGATTTGGATGACAGACTTCTGATCGAGTAACAATGGCCAGGAAAAACTTCACCCGAGTTTGATACTTGATTTTCATGTTTGGCTTTTTCATACTTCAAAACTTTACAAAAACCTGATGGAAAATTCCGAGTTGTACTTTAATTTCGTGTAATAACCTCTTTCTTAACCTAAAAAAAAAAAAGATGAAACCCCTTTCAACAGATTTTTTTAAAATTCTTATTTGGAAAACATTTGTTTTCTTATTTTTTTATGCATATAATCTTCAACAATGATTAGTCTGAAATAAGTTTTGTTTTTACATTATTTCACATGAACACATTTGCCGTAAGAAATTAACGAAAACATAAGGAATTACCGACTTTTTATGCGTTCTCTGTGATTAAATTACTTATATCATATTTCTCTCGCCAGATTGTCAATGACGCTGACTTGTACCATGAAACTTCACAACTTCCCACTTGATGACCAAGAATGCACTATTTTTTTGGAAAGCTGTAAGTATTGATTGGGAAAAGGCTTCACAGAGGAAATTCCGGAGGGTGATATAGCGCACAATTTAATAGTCACCTTAGAAGGTTGATCGTCAAGGAGGAAACATTTAGATTGATGACCATTGTTTAAGCAATCGATTTTTCTGTCGCTGAGGAAAGAAGTAATTTTTTTCTTTCTTTTTTTTTTCTCTGGTCATAATATTTATGGTCAAACAATATTTTGTATATTTTATTCCAATATGTAAACACTTTCAGAATGTGTTTTCTCTGTCATAAAATGTTAGGTTTATATGAGATGAGAAGAACTTCATCGCAAGGTAAAGGACATCCTCACAACATCAGGGATCTTGAGTTCATTCGTGGCCGTAGAACCCCTGAAAACTTTCATTCGTTTCTTTTTCCGGCCAAAGTCTCTCTTTGAGAAGCCGAAATCAAATTGCGCTTTTCATTAGTTGCATAAAATGTAAACAAAAAGTAAGCAGTAAGCAGATGACATGTTGTTTATCACCGAAAGTTAAATGTGAATGGTCAGGAGTAAGAAAAACAGTTTTCGTAACCCCCCCCCCCCCCCGAAATACGTCGCTACCGTCTGCCAGTAAAAACCCGAATGAAATTTGTCAGGGGTCCCTCTGCCACGAGTTGACTCATGATCCCTGACCTTGTGAGGATGGGTAAAAGATCGTAGAATTAAAAAAAATAACAAAATACAATAAAAGCGCATATTCTCTATAAGGCCATTCCAAGTTTTTTCTACGTTTAGCGTCCGCGTGCGCCTTGGTTTTCGGCACCCCATATCAGAAAAAAAAAATCAGGAGTCCTAAAATTGATTATTTTGGTCAAAATTTTGGAAATTTGTCAAGTTCTTTAAATATTTCTCACTAGTATGTCATATTATGTATATTTTAAGCCCTTGTGATCCCTTGATTTTACCAAACAGAAGATATTTCTATGAGAAAAATAGATTCATAAGATCAAATCATTTGAATGATGTCATATTTATTACTGTAAAGTCTGTGTTTTATTTTTTGGCTTGTGTGTTTTTTGCGAATAGGTAGGTAGGTTTTTGAAAGATGGGTGGACGCTAAACAGAGAAAAAACTTGGAATGGCCTAATAACTAGGTGCTCAGAGAAGATATGGTTTCCTCTAAATTTTATACTCACTTTTTTTACGTTTTTTTTTGTTTTTTTTTTTTTTGTTTTTTTTTTTTGTTTGTTTTTTTTTTTGTTTTTTTATTTATTTATTTTTTTTTTTTTTTTAGCCCAGTTGTACAATTGTTTTCAAAGAAAATATTATAGAAATTCCTAATATCTAAATATGAAGGATATTAATGCAGGTTTACTTTAAATATTTTAATTAGTCAGAAACCTGAGATGATTCTCTCCTATACCCTACGCTGCACATCTATTTTTAAAGCTAATAAAAATAGACATATCATTGTTCCATAACACTGGAATGTTCACGTATACTCATGCACCTGTTATAAAGGTACAGTTAGTTAGCCAAGGTTATGAATACTGAAACTGTTTGCCATTATTTACATTTGTAAATTTCGCTAATTTATAGAATTACATTTTTATCAAATATAAATAAGCAAAACTACTACAAAATAGGTGAAAAATTGATTCGTGTATAAAAGAAACCAGGAAAAAAAGGAGAACAAGGTTGATTGTAAATTGACACCAGCCTTATTATCTGTTCGATTAGGCAACGCTAAAAAAATCCTCGGGGGAAGAGGTTGCTCTAAGTTTATGGCGGTAGGGAGAAAGGTTGCGAAGTCCTCCATAAACCAGATTATTTTCTTGATTATAGATTCGTTTGTTGTTTGAGTGAAATACGTTCTGGATGTAGTCCTCGATGTGCTAATTCCTGAATGGATTCTATATACGGAGCGGATACACCATATTTATATATTTCCTTTATAGTGCAATGAAATTTATTATGAAATTACTATCTATCTGATGTTATTACAGACTTTTGTGACAATCTTGGTCAATGAGACAGTGAAGACAATAGAAAAGCATTAAAAGAGTTGCGAGATCCGTAATTAGCTAGGGAGTGATAGTTTTGAAAAATTCTGATATAACATGAACCCTCAGCTGTAGAGTCTGGGTAGTTCCTTGTAAAATGAATCACTTTAGAGGTTCCTATCAAAATTGCATCATACCCTTGTTTAGCTATAAAACTGTTTATATTCTTCGTCACTTTTCTACATAAATTTGAGAATTTTTTTGATATTTTGCAGATGCATATAGCATTGAGAACGTGGTATTCCACTGGGACACTAAGGATCCTGTAATATTGATGAATGCCGAGGAGAATGACCAACAAGAAACGCCACAGTTTTACTTTTATAACCCAATAGCGACGGGCTCGTGTGAGAAAACCACGTCATTTGGTCCGAGTAAGGTCCCTTTTACAACAGCTTTTACAGAAAAAAGGAAAAAATCAATACTAAAACAATGAAAAATATGGAAATAAAAATAATTATTTCCGTATAATTGGCTTTTTTACAGAAAAAGCATTTGAAAGACATGAATTATTCCTAACAGATAGTACAATCTCTAGGAGACAATGCAATGAAAGCTACTTGCGTGTGTTTGAAATTGATGTGTCAGCTTCGATCTAAACTCAATACTTTCAATTCTTAAAATTCAATTATTGTTGTTATCATTGTTATCAAGAAAGTAAAGCATTCATTATTTAAAATTCCAGGCCATTGCAAAAAAAATAAATTTAATTTAATTTTCAATTACTATTGATGTATATGTAGAAGTTAATGGCGAGTTAGCTGTTGGTGTTTGTACAACGCAGTCCTATTTGCTGCCTGATCTTCTGTTTCTATCTTGCTAATTTAATGAAACAAAATCAAATTTAAAGCAGATTAAATTCAAGCTCCGTTAAGTTTTCAACTCTTTCATTATTAATTTAATTTAAAAGAATAGTCTGATTTGTTTGCAAAACCACAGTAAAACTGCATATGCTATATTACAGGAAATAGCTTTGATGAATTACATTTCAATCCATATGGAATCGTTTTATCTACATTAATTTAAGCTAATGAGTGTATCTACATGTACATGTATACTATATTGACGCCAATGTAATTTTGTTTCAGACAATGAATTTGCATGTCTCCAGGCTAAACTTTTCTTCAGAAGAAACATTGGCTACTACTTAGCACAAATATTCGTGCCGAGTGTTCTAATTGTAATTCTCTCCTGGATCTCGTTCTGGATTCACGTGGATGCAATTCCCGCGAGAATATCATTAGGAGTTCTGTGTGTGCTCACCATGACAACCCAGAGTTCTGGTATCAGGAATTCCCTTCCACGTGTGTCCTACATAAAGGCAATAGATGTGTGGATGTCGACAGGACTAGTTTTTGTTTTTGCTGCCTTATTAGAATATGCTTACATAAACGTTCAAACACGAAGACATGTCAAATCTACATCTATGAAGGTATAAAAGAGTTCACAGCCAATTACCATTATACAAGCTTGATTTTATTTTCAATAAATTATTGAGAAAAAAAAATTATAATGTAAATTATACAAAGTACTTCAATATTTTCAAGATGTCAAACGTCATTTTAGGGCACGATTCGCCAATCCAAGGGTCCCATTCTCCCATCAAATGGGAATGCCGACCGACGAGCAGAAGTCGATTTCTTACAAAGAGCACGGCAAGTGGACAAGATTTCTCGTATTGCATTTCCAACAAGCTTTCTTGTATTCAATATAGTGTTTTGGACGTATTACCTGATACATCGATACGTTGTTAACAAGTGACTTTTGTTACAAACACGAGAAACGTTTTCATTGTTTACCTCACAGAGCTTTCAAAACAAAAATAATTTTACATAATATGTTACAGTCTAAAGTACAGATGGTGTTTCGGATTTTGTATTTAATTTTATTTGGGATACTCAAAGAGCTTTTCATTTCTTACTTTATATGTATGTATTCTTACTAATCAATCAGACAAAAAAATCTTCTGCATGAGATGATTTAGTCAGAGAAAGTTATTATAGGTTTTGAAAAAGAAATTCATAAACATTTAATAGAAATGAATACCATGAAAAAAACATTCCATGTTTCCTACTATATTTTTTTTGTAATAGAGATATTACAAAAATGAATGATTGTAATTCTTTTATAATTTTTTTTTTGTTACTTTTACTTTAAAACACATCATGATTTAAGAAACATTATTAGATTTGAATTTTATATATTAGTAAAAACACATACACTGTACCTACATGTATTAGATTGACCATCAATGATAAACCTTATCATTTGAAAGAAGTTGTTCATTATAACAGTCTTACTCTTCTTGAAGTCTGTATTGGTGGTCATAGTTTTTATGAACTCCTTAATTTTTTTATGTGCACACGTTTTTTACAAAAAAAATACTGCACATTGATGCGATGACAGTTTTGTGCCGTAATAGTAAATGAATAATGTAATGATATTTACACGTATTGAGCAACAATTTGTTAAAGAGTTTTGGTAAAAAAATGTTCTCTCGCAAAGCTAGTCAGCATAGGCCTTATGTATATGCATGTTTTACATAGAACTTGAGTAGATATTTTTTCATCGACTCTGCTTAGACGTTTTCTTATAGATTCTCACATCGCTCTTACCCATTAATAAGCGTTTCCCTGCGTTCACCATTAGATAATTCATCAAAAGATCATCAGATATTGCAACTTGGCCATATTTACCAAATCTTTCCAAATGTGATTTTTACTACATTGAAAAACCTCCATCGTGATTTTTTCACAGTGATTGATAAAGGCAATAATGTTTTTCTATGCATTTAATTATTAATACTTTATCTTGCACGCACTGTTATAACCTTTTTACATGCACGAATCAATCAGATTATATGTTTCTTACACAGAAGTCGAACTTCATTGGTTGCATATTATTATTCATGAGCTACTATTTTCTAATCAAGATTGTTGGACTTGAGTTTATGTGGATTGGTCTTTTTTTTTAATGATGTATGATTGTTGAATAATCAATTATTGAAACTTAAGTAGATAAAATATTTCAAATTGAATATAATTTTTTTTCCTCTTCATGGAGTAAAATAATGAATCTTTTTCAAGTTTAATATTTATTGATACTCTGATAAGAGAGATAACTTTGAATGACATAAAAGTCTATTATTCTTTAAAAATTTGACAAGTTGAAATGTCTTTGTCCAATAGCCATGCTATATAATTGTATGTAATTTACTTATAAAATACATTTCTTTTGGAAAAATCATAAGCATTAAAGCAACATTTTATATGAGTGAACACAGCGATTATGAACCTAGTAAATACATAATATACATTGTAAAAGATTATTTTCCAATAGTACGCACATCTTTAAGTTCAATTCAAATAGAGCTACTCTTAATATGCATTTTTTTTTCTACATTTAAAATAAAACGAGATGTTCAATTGGCCACTATGTCTAATTCGATAATGTAAGTTGAAATATAAAAACCGTTATCATATAAAAACACACCCCCTCCGCACAAATGGAATATATGGAGATAACGAACAGTATTCAAGCTCAAAAGTCCATTAAACAATACAAAATAGGAGCAGAGCAAACACGGACCTCCAAAACATTAGAGGTGGGATCAGCTGCCATGGATCCAATCTGGTTGTTGTTAAGAGATTCGCAAAATAAACACATTCTTCCTTTAATATAAAACAAAGATCAATCATACTGTTGAAGTAAACAGACATACCTATGCATATTGTTAACACAGTCAGAATTGTCTGATGAGATTTTTGTTGTGATTAGTTATTCGTGAAATCCAAGGATATGAATTTCCCCGACATTCTACAATCTCTTCAATGTACGCCTAAAAGTATTTCAAAATACAGAATACATTAGCGTTTGTAAGGTTGGTAGTTATTAAGGATGGAGGTGTTTTCGCTTGTCTTTACATGATATCACAAGTTGGTTTGCACAGAGAGAGAGAGAGAATATGTGTAAACGAGGAATCTGTGAATGAATAAATATTCATTAAATTTTAGTATCTTCACCGATACTTAATTTGAAACTATCCTCTGCCAACATAGGTGACTCAAACCAAAAATGCAATTAAATCGCACAGAAGACAGTTGTGCATAAATGTTTCGTATTTTCAATTCCTTAGTTTCTTCAAATTGTAAGTACAAGCATCATTGATACATTTTCAAAAATCAGAAATTGATTAACATATACTTTTCACTAAAGAAATTGGCAGATAAGCACTTTATAAAAAAAAAATGCTTTCTCATTATTTAAAACACGGAGGAAAAAGAAAAAAAAAAGGTAAAATTTAATGGCATTCTGATTTTCATCAAAGGGCCAATAGTTTTTACTTCTCATCTATGAGTAGCAAATATAATGTTTCACTGAATTGCATTGGCTTTTCTGAAGAAAAAACTTAAGCTCTTCTTAAAATAACACAAGTTAACTATTGTAAGTAGATTTGGTACATGAATTTTCCTATTCAAATTTGACATTTTCTCTAAAAAGTAATATCTCCTTTAAATCAGGCAGACCTGAGCAATTTATGAATTATTATGATATGATATTCAAAATACTTCATATTTTCCCCTTTTTTATATTTGGTTGAAATAAAAACCAGTAAACAAAGAAAAAAATGTATTTGTGTAAACGTCATTTATAACAGTATATAGTTTATATTCCAGTTCCAAACAAATACAGCAAGAGGCCACATTTTCAAAACAAAAAATATTATATCGTTAGGAACCATGGCAACATCGCTCATCAAAATTAAAGCCTAGTTTGAAGTTGATTAATCACACTATTAACACTAGTTTGTAGTCGATTAAGTTGATTAATCACACTATTAACACTAGTTTGTAGTCGATTAAGTTGATTAATCACACTATTAACACTAGTTTGTAGTTGATTAAGTAGACGGAGTCCTCCGTAGTCAAATTTAATATAAAATATTGCCTTACAAATAATATGAAACATGTCAGACAAAATACGACCCAGCAATAGGTTGCATTTACAAACAAGGTCATAACGACCGTAGAATTTGCGAAAATCTGACTTTAAATAGGGTTTTTGAAATCCTTGTAACATCAACTTTTTTGTCAGTAGCTTAACTCGTTTAAAAGAATCGATCGTATTCAGAGCATATTCGTATCGAATCAGTTGGGAGACATAAAAGACTATTAATTTTGCAGGTGATGTTGGAATATTGCTACATAAATACTAGTAAGGGAAGTTGACGATGGAAAAGCTAAGTCCTCCCCTTCGTTATGCAGTTTAGTTCAGTTTAGTTGGTCCTTATCGTCTATAGTGATTAAAACATCCAAATATGAAACAGATGTGGCAGACTTTATGGTGACTTTCATTTCGAGATCACTGGGATACATTGAGTCGATATAGGAATGAAAGTAACTATTGTTAAGAGGGCTGGGTGGTTGTGGCCATTTTCAGACTATATTGATTTCCTTTAGAAGAGGAGCTCCATATGAAGGTATACAAAAATGATCAAATTTCAAAACTAAAATGTATGAAATTTTTCTTTGCCAAATGATAGTTCACAGCATAAGATATCATATCTAAAAATTAAGTTATATCTGATGGTTAATTTGTTGACCCCCCAGCCTCCTTAATTGATGAAACGTAGTATGTATATTTCAGTGTTGAGTTGAAGGCCGTGCAAAAGTTTTCCTCGTTACAATAAGTTTTTGAATAAATTCTTGAGAATATAAAACAAGTCGGCTAATAAAGAAGCACAATCATTGCCAATTGAGGTTCCAACATGTTGGAAGACCTGGTCTCCAATTACTACATAAATATTGTCAATGAGGAACTCCAGCATCTTTTTAATATCAACTTCAGAATACATGTATGTAATACTATGTAGAACCAGACTGATTTTAACAAAGTAATTTATATATGCCCAATCACAAGATATGAAATCAATTAATTTTTTATTAAAAATCGGATTTTGTTAATTTCCTTTAATTCAACGAAAAATGTTTTTAAGATTTACAACAAAGGCACAGTTTCTTTGATATCACCACCCACTTATGAAGTACATTTTTTTATGTTATAGGGGTCGGGTACCACAAAAGGGTGTGTTAAAGAGAATGCTTTGATTTGTAAATTAAATTTTCAAATCTATTGTTTTCCGTTGCAGATTCTCTCTCGAAATTTAATAAAGAACCTAAACAAAACAAAAACAACAACAACAAAACAAACCTGTTCAAATCACCGTAACTTCAAATATAACCAGAACTTTAAAAAATATAAGAAGTATTAAATTCATAGAGTAAACATAAGGTAACACTTTCATGTCGGGTTTATAATCGGTACTTAATATTTCTATGCAGATTTAATCCGTAATAGAGAGGTATCTTTCGTCCATTTAATATCATTAAAAATACAAAACTACACTGCAAGTCATTCATAAATATCAAAGACAACTTAAAGTCGATACATTGTATGCAAAATACAGAGAAAAAGCAACTTATATGTAAGAATACATTAAAGTTTTTAAGTATTTTACTTTTTTAAAACTTTTCTTAACGTACATCGTACTTCAAAAGTGTTCAAAACCGTCATCATTGACCGGGTCAAGCATATTATCTTTAGTATAAGGCAAAGACCTAAAATTTGACCATACAGATGTTCCTTGGGAAAAATAAAATGAATCGTAAAATTTGAGGAAACTGCTCTGAACAAATGCTGTTATTTTTGATCAATACAGTATGTAATTTCTGGAAACTTATAAAAGCCCAAAGAGAAAGGAACAAGACGCGTTTGTTAATACATATGCCCCCTAAATTGTATAGTGTTGTGAACTAGACACAATTTATGTTTTTATAAAAGATTTTAGTTTTCAAAGAGAAATTGTTTTTTGAGTAAATTTTACATCTTATGATAATTATATTCAAATACATCACCTTTTGACCTACTTAACCTATTTTTTTAAATTCTGCAAATGTTATGACAATTTGAAAATTATATATATAATTACATGAATGCCAAATAATTCATTTGCAACATCAGCATATTATGAAAGAAAGACAGACAAGTCAAAAACAGTATGCCCCGGAACTTCGGGGCCATAAAAATGCAGCTCGCCTCAGAAAGGTATAAAGATACGCAGAGTTGGACGAATGCAGTCAAGAAATTCCAACAATTATATATGAACACCTCTATGATAGCCCTATAGGATAGAAATCCACAGTTCCATGTACAAAGTTGTATGTTATTCCAAGGTGAATGGTAGAAAAGATGACAATTATCATTGAGGCTAATTAATACTCCAGGAGATGAACAAATAACATCAATCTTGTTTAGGGTGCATATGCAATAGTATAATTATGAAATAGGCTGGGCGATGTCTGAGTTTATCTGCATGTTCTCACTTTGGATTTCGTGTTATTCGTGTCCGCGAAAAGTTTTGCGTAGATCAAGAAATGCTACAATATTTAATATTGACATTTCCCTAAAATGAAAAATATATTAATCTTTCAAGCATTTTGAAACTAAGATGTGTTTAACACAAATGCTCCCGAACGTGGACAAGCTGTGATGTCAATAATAGTTCCTGGACGTACTATTTATGTGATTCTACTAGAGTTTGGTGTTTTTATTTTGATTTTAATTAAAACTTTGCACTCCTCACCTTTTGAACTACTTACACTATTTATTTAGCTCTGCCACTGATATTGGCAAGATGACAATTACAATACACGTAAATATTTACAGTAATATCTTATATGGAGTTAAAATCCAGTTGCAACATCAGCAAATGAGAATTAGTAATCATTGAGGTGTACATGTTGTGTCATTCCTGTATTTTTCCCAGATTTTATTGATTGTCCAGTGCTTTTGCACTGATAGTCCTTATCCTAGCCAATGCTCACAAAAAAACAATATACATTGTATACTCGCAAAATACATGCATATATAAAAACAATACTGTTATACAATACGTAAACATGTAAATAATCACAATGTTCTCAGCCTGTTAAGACGAAGAAATGCCAATTCTGAGAAGGTAGTTAATATTAATAGAAAATAATCACGGACAAACAGACAAACACAGAGTCTTTGCTCTGAGTAAAT